CCCCAAAACCCCAAAACCCCAAAACCCCTAAAAGATCTCGAGTGGTAGAAATTAAATTAAAACTCACAATGGCTAAAAATCCGCGAAAGAGAAAACATAAAGGAAAGAACAAGAAATGGTCCGTTGGTGCTTTTGAATGCCCTTTTCCGGAAGATTTAACTTTATTATTGTATTTGATACTTAAATCATTTCATTTCTCATTAGTCTTTAGGCAGAAAAAGCTTGAACAGAAGAGGGAGAAAGAGCGAAAGAAGAGTAAGCATACTTTTCATATCAAATTTTCATAAATTAACTATAAAACCAATATAGAAATCTCAAGAAGTTCAACTACAGACACTCCTAGTTGAAAAAGGAGTAGTGATCCTTCAAGTACTCTCTCCTCTCACCCATTTAGAGATGCTCAAAAAATTTCAGAGTGGGAAGAAATTTATTAAGAACCTCAAGCCGACGCTTGAGGAGGAGATCAAGGATAACAATAGTGAAGTTTGGCCGAAGTTCCTCTTAAAGGAGAATATCAAAGATGCGCATAAACATAGACCCGATCATAAAGAGTACGATCCGTCCACTCTATATATCCCTCCGAAAGCTTTAGAGGAGATGACAGAGTATAATCGGATTTATTGGGGGTTCAAACAGCAACATTTTGATAAAATAGTCTGCTTTGGGACTGGCCTCTGGTACTTTGTACGCTACTATGATGCAGAAATAGTTGGAAGAATTATTAAAAAGCCACTAAATCTTTATTTTGGCGGCAGTGGATTCTCGATCAAAGAGAAAGATTACTACTTTGATCTGATCACCAAGAATGGTTATAAAATAGTTGTGGTAGATCAAATTGAAACTTCAGAGTAAATGTTTCTTAATTTTATAGAATGATGAGGAAAAGAGTAGAAGAAGAATGGAAAGAAAACAAATAAACAAGTTTTAAAATCAGAAGTCTGCAAAAGGGAAATATCTCATATTTATTCAAGAGGGACATATTCAAACCCAACTGCAGAGAAGGATACTATCTTTGATACTCAAAATATCTTGGTGTATCATTTCATACCAGAGACGAGCAAGTTTGGGTTTACCTTCTTTGACATCACAGCTCTCAAAGTTCATGTAGGATCGTTTTACGATGATGCTGTGCTCACAAAATTTCGAACTCTGGTATCAAGGATCAGACCAGTAGAAGTACTTTGTGCTGAAGAGTTCAGAAAATCAGCTATGACCAATATGCTTCGACTTTCCCCTGTTTCCCCAACCTTCAACTTCATCAAAAAGAGAAGCTTTGCCTCATCTTCAGAATGAGTTTCTTTGATCAACGATCACCTAGATTTCACCTAAGAATACCTTCCCATCAATGATCAAAAAGAGTGTGGAAGAGGAGAACTGCCACGACCCATTCCTCTTATCCCTCGGGAACGCTATTGGTTACTTAAAATCTCTCCAAATCATTAAGACGACCTTAGAATTGTCCGAGACAGTAGAATACAACCACGAGTCACCAGAAGGAGAGCTTGTGGAGAATATGATCATTGATTCCCAAGCATTGGAGAATTTGGAGGTTTTTGAAGTGGAATCTAAACATGGCAAAACTACAGAAGGGTCGCTTTATAGCTTCCTTAACAGATGTGCTACAAAGTTTGGCTCAAGGCTCCTTAAGAGCTGGATAACAGCCCCTCTCAATGAAATATCGAAATTACAAGAGCGACATGATGCAGTAGAATGGTTGAGCACCAAGCCAACTCTTATTGGAAATTGGCAGAAGTTTTTGAAACCAATACCAGATCTCGAGAAACTCTTGGCGAGAGTTTATAAGTTCAGCATTGAGAATGACTCTAAAGCAGTATATATATCCAACGGATCATACTCAAAGATGACAGATTTTCATAATCTTCTACTTTACTTTGAAGAAATTACGAAGAAATTGCCCAAGGTATTCACTACAAAATAAGATATCTTCTAAAAGACTTTTCCTATTGGCAAAATATAAGCCAATGAAGATAAAGAGTAGGATCAAGTCAGCCAACCCCTTCGATTGGGATGAGGACGAAGAACAAAAGCAAGAGTATGAGGAAGGCTCCCTTCCTGACATTAGAAAGTGGATCCAAGGTTTCAAAGAAGTCATTACATGGAAAAAGATAGGGAAAAATCTTATACCAGAACCTAAGAAAGGTATCAGTGATGACTTTGATCAAGCTAATGAAGCCATCGAGCTGATCAGGATTGAGCTTGATGAACTTTTAGAAGAGATAAAGAAAAAGTTGAAATTTGAGAAAATTTGTTACAATTCTGACTCAAAAATGCATAGATTCCAATTCGAACTGTCAAACAATAATAAAAAGAAAATGCCAAAAAATTTTACTGTTACTTCGAAGACTTCAAAAGTTGTACGGTATCAATCTGAAGAACTTGTTGACCTCAACTTCAAGCTAGAAGTTGAAGAAGATAACCTGAAGAAGGCATTTACTCCTTTCCTGAAAAAACTATTGAAGAAATTTTACTCAAAGAGGAAGATGTGGTCAGACTTCCTGAGATGTATCTCTGAAATAGACTGTTTGATCTCCCTTGCTGATGTCTCAATCAATACAAAGAATATGGTTAAGCCAATCATTCTTGAGAGTCCAAGACAAGAAATCAACATCGAGCAGCTCAGACATCCCTGTGTGGAAAGGAGCATCAAAGAATTTGTCCCGAATGATGTCCGAATAGGAGGAGATGAGCCTCTAGTTCACCTCATCACAGGTCCGAATATGGGAGGAAAGTCAACTCTTTTAAGGCAAACCTGAATAGCAGTTATTCTATGACAAATAGGATGCTTCGTGCCAGCAGAAAAGTGTGAAATGACCCTAATTGATAGAATATTCACTAGAATAGGAGCCAATGATCGAATCATGGAGCATAAATCTACCTTCTTTGTCGAAATGGAAGAGACTAAAACAATTATTGAACAGGCAACTCCTAATTCACTTGTCATCATCGATGAGCTAGGAAGAGGGACTTCTACATTTGATGGATATAGTATCGCTCATTCGGTGCTATCTCATCAAATTAGGATATCTAAATGAGCTACTCTTTTTACAACCCATTATCACATGCTTATCGATACTTTTAAAGATAACCCCAAGGTCCAAACAATGAAAATGAACTGTATCATAGATTCGGAAAATGGAGATGTTCACTTTGAGTATAAATTCATTAAAGGATACACAGACAAAAGTGAAGGTATTTTCGTCGCAAAGATGGCTAGAATACCTTCAATAATTCTAGAAAAGGCTCAAGTACGTTCAGAAATGTTTAGAGAACAACTGAAAAGGCTTGATATTTCCTTTAAGTCAAATGAATAGTTGATGTTATTAATATTCAATAAAGAAATACTTTCGGGGTTTTGGGGTTTTGGGGTTTTGGGGTTTTGGGGTTTTGGGGTTTTGGGG